TACTTGGGAGGCTGAGGTGGGATCCCTTGAGCCACAGAGGTCAAGGTGGCAGTGAGCTATGATCATGCCACTGTACTCCAGCCTGAGTGACAGAGCAAGACTGTCTCAAAAAAAATAAAAAAAAAAAAGGTAAACCTATGTGTAGTTTGCCATAATTTCCAAAACCAACCTGCTGGTAGCTGTGTGTAAGTTGACTCTGGTGGGAGGCTTGACTGGAGGCAGGGAGACCGTGAGGCGGCTACTGTCATGGTCCAGGTGAGAGGCGGCCTGAACAGGGTAGTGGCGCTTTTCCGTCCCACAGCGGTGAAGTGGGGAGGAGGGGTGGATTCTGGATGACTTCTGAGGATGCATCAAAGGATTGGCTGTGGGGCCTGAGAGAAAGGGAAGGGCTGTGGCCTGCGGGCAGGGAAGGAGGGAGGAAAACTGAGTTCTTGTCTGTCCATCCTGAGCTTGGGGCGTCTGGAGGCATCCAAATCTGAGGTCTGGGACCACCTGATCCGTAGAGCATCGTGCTAGGCCCAGGCCTTAAGGAGCTGGCAGCTCCCACTTGCTGTCTCTTGGGCTGCTTACTCTTGAAACCCAGTGGGTGAATCTGGGAGATTCTGCTCTGGCCACTGTCTGACTGCAACCACACGTGAGGGGCGCAAGCCACAACCACCTCACTGAGCCCAGCAAGCTCACAGAACCAGGAGCAAGCAGGATAACACGGCGGCTGCTGCTGTAAGCCCCTGAGTTTTGGAGTGATTCACTATACAGCAAGAGAAAAATGAAACACATAGGTAACCACGTTGTTGAGGAATTAGTTCAGGAGACACGATTTTTCCCCCCAATCACTTACATTCTGCTGAGTAAGATGTCTCCTTTTGACACCTTAAGCCAATTCTCTAACTTTTCAGCCACTTCGCAGTTATCAGAATGGCACCATTCCTATATTTAAGACTGACTCACGTTTCTTTGATAACTTAGCTTTCATCTCAACTGAAAACCATGGGTCTCAGCAACAGTGAATTTGAAAGGCAGCTGACCCAGGCCTCAGTGGTCCTGCGGCGACAGGAAGAATGACAGGACAGCCTGGATGTTGCTCGTGGCCGCTTCGACACTCCTTTGCAGAGTGACCCCCTGGTGACTTCGTGGTGTGGCTCAGTCTGATCAACACATTACGAACAGAAGTGACGTGTGCTCCCTCCAGGCCGGAGCATTTTATTGCTGGTGCAACTACCCCCTACCTTTATACCTCTTCCCTGCCACGAGACTGGACTCTCACACTGGAATGGGGGCTTCTCCACCAGCTGGGGTCCCTGGTGACTCTACTGAGCAGAGCCCGCCCCTGCCAATCCAGCCTGGACGCACAGTGCAAGCAGGAAATCAACTTGGTGGTTTGATCCCTGAGATTCAGGAAACTGCTCATTTCAGTAGCATAACCTCACTAGTCCTAATGGACACAGTAACAACAGAAGTTACTGTTTTGGTTTTTTTTTTTTGAGATGGAGTCTCACTCTGTTGTCCAGGCTGGAGTGCAGTGGCACAATCTTGGCTCACCTGCAACCTCCGCTTCCCAGGTTCAAGAGATTCTCCTGCCTCCGCCTCCCGAGTAGCTGGGATTACAGGCACGCACCACCAGCCCAGGCTATTTTTGTATTTTTAGTAGAGACGGGGTTTCACCATGTTGGCCAGGATGGTCTCGATCTCCTGACCTTGTGATCCACCCGCCTTGGCCTCCCAAAGTGCTGCGATTACAGATGTGAGCCACTGCCCCCTGCCGTTACTGGTTTTTGAGCTGAGAAGGTGAGTATGGGAATGAGCCATGTGGCCAGCAAGGGCCACGCAGTCCAGGCAGAGGGAACAGCGTGTGCTAAGGCCTTCAATGGGAGTGAGCTGGGTGTGTCCAAAAAAATCAGAGTGGTAGATGGTCCCTTTTCTTTGTTCCCCATACTCGTGAGAATTGGGGCTCTAAGGGTTTTTTTTAGGAAATTTGGGGCCAGCTCCTTGCCTCGGGGGCAAGATGAAGGGGAAGCTGGCCCCAAATCTCCCCAGAAAAACCCTAGAGGCCCAGATAGCCGAGTCCTCCTACCGGCATTCTCGGACCACGCCTGTGGGAGGACTCGGCTCTCTGCCCCGCCGCTGTACCGTCTCTCGGTCTAGCCTAGCCGAGACTCCCAGGCCATGGTGCAGACTTGGGGGGACCCAGCATGCTGCACTGTCAGCTCGTGCCCCACAGCTCTCCTGGGCAATGGGTTTGCCCCGCCACGCCTCATGTCATTTCCTCCCCTCTGGATCCTCTGCCCACTCTGTCCAGTGCAGCCCCTCCATGGCCATTTGGACACCCATTTCTGTAACTGTCAGCCACTGGGGGCTGGAGCCCTTCACCCCGCTTCTCCCGTTCGCTGCTCCAGCAGCCCAGCATCGGCCACCTGGGTGCAAAACACTCCTCTCCCTTTGCAGGTCCTTCAGATTTCAAGGCAGGCCCCTCGCCCCCTTAGCTCCAGCCACCCGGCCTGGTCTGTTCCACATGGTGGTGATCTACAGCCTCCACCTACCTGGTCCCACCTCACAACGGGGTTAGCAGCGGAAAGGGCTGAATGGGGACTAGAACGTCACAACAGGAGAGCCCAGAGCCTTCTGTCAATGGTGCCAAACCTTGGCGCTGCGTCAGTCCCATAGGAACTAGAAGTGTCTGACCCTGATGTGACTCAATATCCCCTGGTATGCAGATCAGCAGTGGCAGGTTGGGCGTGTGGGCTGGCGTCCCACCACCAGGCCTGGACCCAGACTGACCGCTTAGCCCGCAGGTCCCCTGAGGCACTCAGGTGAGGGGCACCACTTCCCATGTCCGTAAAAGCCAAGGAGAGCTCAGGAGCCCCAGCAGAGGAGAGCTGCACCGGCCTGGTGAGGGCTGGATCTGCGCCTCCCCCGCCTCAGTGTCCCCGTGTGCCCACAGAGGCCCTGAGATGCTCCAGTGCTTGACAGGAAACCACCAGGCACACTCTGGCCTCACAACCCCACTCCAGGAATCTGCCCGAAGGAAACAGCATCCCAGTATCAAGGTGCCTAAAAATGTGAAGGCCAGAAACACGAAACCACCTAAGCGTCCCTTGGCTGGGGATGTGTCACATAAATCACGGGACACCTGTCAGATGGATGACTCTGCGTAGTGCGAATCAGGAAAGTATCTGGGCCTAAGGGACATGACAAGTGTGGCTTCAGTCCACAAGGAGCCACGTCGAATAAGGGCTTCTTCCTCCTGACCTTCAGCTCCTCCTCCTCATGGCCCCAACGTGGCTGCTGGGCTCCAGCCAGGAAGCAGGGGAAGGTCAAAGGGCAAACCCCGTGGCTTTTCTCAATGGCCAGAGACAGGTCACACCCCCAAATTATGGGAGGCTGAGGTATAGTTTTAATTGGCCCAGGACACATGTGGGGTTCAGAAGTAAGAGAGAGGGTAGGACCAAGAGCTGCAGAAAGAGCTCTGAGTTCACTTTAAGTAGAAGCAAATGAGAGACGCGGCAGCAGGCAGAAACGTCTAGAACTACGCCTGCAGCAGGTGTGGCTGTGTACACGCAGGCCTGCGGTACAGACGGTCCCCTCTGGGAGTGAAGCTGGGAGGGAGGAAACTAGTCACCCTTTGTTTGTTGTTGTTTTTTTTTGAAACGGAGTCTCGCTCTGTTGCCCGGGCTGGAGTGGAGTACAGTGGTATGACCTCCGCTCACTGCAACCTTCATCTCCTGTGTTCAAGCAATTCTCCTGCCTCAGTCTCCCAAGTAGCTGGGATGACAGGCACCTGCCACCACGCCCGGCTACGTTTTTGTATTTTTAGTAGAGATGGGGTTTCACCCATCTTGACTAGGCTGGTTTTGAACTCCTGACCTCATGATCCACCCACCTCGGCCTCCCAAAGTGCTGGGATTACCGGCGTGAACCACCACGCCCAGCTGAAATTAGTCACCTTCTATAAAATTGCTTTGACAAGTGATTGGGTGAAGGGTGACTATGATGGTTGTACAGTATGTCTGCCAGTTTTCTTCTCACCAGTCAGCACTCTTCCCTGCCTAGAGATGGAGTCCGACTCTCCTCCCCATGTTAGAAGGCAGCCTTGACTCCCAGTGGACCGACACAGCATGACTTCCAAGGCCAGGGCCTGGAAGGCAAAATGGCCTCCACCTGGTGCTCACATTGCAACTCTCACATTGGAAACCAGACGCCATGTTGCGAGGAAGCCCAGGCCACATGAGGCCGCCATGTGGAGGTGTTATGGCTGTGAAATAAAAATAAAATCTTAAGCCCCACTGACTGACTGAATATTTATCTTGGCCAAGGAGACCTGGCCATGACAAGACAGGTCAGTCACACCTCAGTACACCCCTTCCTCACTAACCAATACCAGATTATTTTTCTTCAGAGTTAAACAGAAACTAGCCCTGAAAATAAACAAACAAACAAAAAAAAACGGGAAGTCTCCTCTGCTGACTCTAACATCAACCAACCACCGTCACCTTTGTATTTTTTGGTATTAGAAATAATTATTTGGTTTGACTTAACACCCCTCGTCTGCACTGTTACAGACAGCAGCTGCAGACTTCTCCACGGGTCCCCACTTGGAAGCGGCACACCCTGTGGAGGAAGAGGCTGAAGCAGCCATCTGTAGGTGCTGAAAAGAAGTTTATTGCTATTTTCTTATTTTATGATACAAAATTAGATTTGCTTAAAACATCTCCCAGTCTCTTTAAAGGAATGCAAGTTAGTGAGAGGCCACAGCCGGTATCTTACCCTCAGTAGTGGTTTCAAGTAAGCCATAAGTATAAAAATCATTATGGCCAGGCTGTGTTGGAACAGAACATGCCCCCCACCCCGGGGTCCTCAGCCTTGGATGTCAGCTTGGCCCCCTGAGGGGTCCCTACACCTGGAAGCTGATTCCACTGACGAATCTCAAGCTGGGCGCACGTGGAGTTGTGGCTGACTGGCTTGTCCTCCCGGCGTGGAGCGTGGGCACCAGCCTCACTCCTCGGTCACCCTAGTGCATATGCTGCAGGCTATCGTTGCATTCCTGTGGTCAGACCAGAGGCAGGCAGGGGCCGCCTGGAGTTCGCCATGTGCACCATCACCTGGGCTTGGGGTGAGCTGGGGGAGCCAATGAAGCTCAGAGGTCTGGGGATCCTGGGGTCCTTGTCCACGCTGCAGGTCACACTGGCTGGCTTGCTGGTGCTCTCACCATAGTCTCTGTGGAGAGAGGAGGCATGAGCTGGCGAAAGAGTGAGGATGGTGTTTAACCCCCAGCGCCACACCTTCTCGGGTACCCAGGCCCTGGGCCTTCAGTGGGCCTGGGACAACTGCTGCCCTGAGCACTGGGGAGGCTGTTTCCTCTTGCCGGGAGCTGCCCTGCACCCTGCGGTGCACAGAGGCCGCTCCATCTCCCCGCTGGGCCCTGTTGGCAAATGGGTCCTTCATCCACACAACCAAGGCATGGCCCAGGAGCCAGACGCGTGTCCAGCTAAGGTGTGGGAAGGGACTTCCTAGGGCTCAGACTGTGCAAAAACTAGCGGGAGCCCAGCTGCCTGGGCAGGGCCTGGGACATCCCAGGCAGAGAAGGGAGGCTGGGGAGCAGGAGTGTCACGGGGCGGACAACTTCTCTCCTGCCAGGGCTGTCCTCTTTGGCGGCCCGGAGCTAGATGGACCACCTGCTCCACCCTCAGTACTCTTGTGGCTCTCCCACCCTCGCCTGGCACAAACCAAGCCATTTCCCAGGCTGACCAGATCCTGGCCCTGCCCTGTCGCTGCCCTCCACACACATTAGCCTCTGCTCCAAGTGGGCTGCCTGGTGGCTCCCATCTCTGGCCCTTTGCAGTTATTTCCTCCCCTGAAAGGCTGTCTCTCTACCCTCCCGAAGCAGGCTCTCTTAGTCCTTTCACTTCTGGCGTCACCTCTTCCAGGAAGCCTTCCTGGATCACTGTTCCTACCCACAACTGATTCTCAGAAAAACTTTAGGAAGTAGTAGGAATTAAGAAATGATCTGCTGGGCAATGAGTAAGTGAATGCATCCATCATTAGTGGAGAGGAAAGGCAGCTTCATGGAACTGGGAGCCAGACCAACTTCACCTAGCCTGACTCTTACTGGTAGTGTGGGAGTCTACACAAGTTTCTTAACCTGCCTGGTTCTTCACATGGAAAATGGGATAAAAGTAGTACCCACCTCTAGGTGAAAAGAGTTAATATTTGGAAGAGTTCAGAACAGTGTCTGGCACACTGCAAGTGCTGAGAAGTATTTATGAACTAAAAACAAGGTCAAGAGGCAAACCCCACCTTGCTAAAGGCAATTTACCACCTGTGGAGGCAGCCTGGGTCCTGCCTGGGGGGTGGGCAGTGCCAGCACAGGCATATCCCAAGGACCCTGCTGGGAACCCGGGGTCCAGGATCAGGGAACTCTGCCTCCATCAGCTGGGTAGCCCTGGGCAGGACCAGCCTTCTCTGAGTCCCCACGAAGCTGGGCTGAGTGCTTGATGTCCCCATGTATGAGAGCTCCAGGAAGGGGCTCTGCCCTAAGGGTCCCCCTCCTAATCGCCCCTCAGCCTCACCACCACTTCCTGCCTCTTGAGCTGGACTATCACAGTGGCCCCAAGATGGCTCTCTCACTCCCCGAGGGAGGGAAGCACAGCTCCCTACACAGATCTGTGGCCGCCCTTGGATGGGACACACACGTCTGACCACACACTGCAAGTCCCTGCAGTGTAAGAGCTGGTGTCTGTGGCGCTGGGGCGGGGAAGGCGTGTGGCCCCAGACAGCACCCCTGGGAGCGCCTTGGCCTCATGCTCTGGCCAGCAAAGCCCCTGCAGCAGCAGCAGCAGCAGCAGCAATGGCTGCCCTCATCCTGGACACCGTGTTGCCTTGAGAGGCAATTGTTCCTTCCCCCAATCCATGGGCACTTTTCCCAGTTATGACACAGGACGATCTGGCCCCGGTGCTGTAATGGGGAGTGGGGATCACAGGCAGGACAATGGAGGGGCTCTGAACCTGCCTTTGGATATCTCACTCCCCAGAAGGAAACGCATTAGCCACCAGGGCCCCAACAAAACTAAAATGAAAGGGAAAGGAGGCCGGGCACAGTGGCTCACGCCTGTAATCCCAGCGCTTTGGGAGGCTGAGATGGGTGGACTGCTTGAGACCAGGAGTTGGAGATCTGCCTGGCCAACATGGTGAAACCCCATCTCCACTGAAAATACAAAATTAGCCAGGCGTGGTAGCGGGTGTCTGTAATGCCAACTACTCGGGAGGCTGAGGCGGGAAAATTGCTTGAACCCAGGAAGAGGAGGTTGCAGTGAGCTGAGACTGTGCTATGGCACTCCACCTGGGGCAACATAGCAAGACTCTGTCTCAAAAATAAAAATAAAAAAAGGAAAGAGCCCTAATAAACTTGTAGCCAATCAGTAATCCAGGTGCCCTCCCGTAACACATGAGTAAAACATTAGGAGGCAATTCAGCAGAGAAAACAGAAAATGACCAATGCTAGCAACGCCACTGGCGAGCCAAGGCTGGAGAAAACATTCTTCCTGGACACTCATCAAAGAAATGCTGACGGAAACTACCCGTGCAACTTACAGCTACTGTAAGAAACATGATGAGCAAATGATCCGCATTCAGTGATGACGCAGTTCCCAGAAAACTATGGTCGAAGTCACTTATGCCAGAGCTCCCAGAGAAAGGATCCGGTCATAAAATATTCAGACCATCGGGCCTAAACAATCGATTCCCAGGATCGCCCCCAAGAGTGTGGTCTTGAAAAAGAAAAACAGCACTAAGCAAAAAGATGCTGACCACGCCTGACCGCTCAGCAGGGAGGGTCTCGCAGATGTTGGAAACTTTGGGACCACGGGTTACTATAAGGAATGACAGGCTGAAGGCCTCAGACCACCACGGTGACCCGGAACGTGCTACTAAGTGCAGAAGTCTCATGGCAGCATTTCTGCTACATCCTTGGTGATGCAATGCACACCTGAAGCGCCAGGAAAGGAGATGGAAAGGTGAATTCCCTCCCTGAAGGTGTTGGCCAGACCCAACACGATGTGTGCAACCCAGGGCCACACAGTTCACCCCCTCCTGTGCCTCAGTTTCCCCATCCGCATAAGGTCATAAGTGTGGCAATGACAGTATTCACCAAGTTCTCCCCCTGGGCCTGGCGAGAGAGGCACACACCTGGACTCAGGTAGCCTCAACAACTTGAGAGTGTGAGCGCCACCGCCATCTCCCTTTACAGGGGAGGAAGCCGAAGCGCGCGCTGTTACAGGCACACAGCGAGGCCCCGAGGCATGGGACCAAGCGCACTGCAGCCTCGAAAGGCTCCAGCGGGAGGGCCCGAAGAAAGGGAAGCCAAGCTCAATGATGTCGTCTCGGTGCCCGCCCGCTCTGCAGTGGCCAACCCCAGGGCCGGGCACAGAAAGCTCAAAATGGGGCTGGAACATCTTGAGCAAGGCCGGAAGCACTCACAGACCGACGGCGAAGGACCAGAAGGACACAGGCCACGGTGTGGCGGAGCTCCCACTGCCAAGAACAACCGGAGCCCACAGAGAGTGTGCTTGAAGTGGGGTGGCCTGGCTGAGCTGGCGACCGTGAGATCGGGAGGCGGGAGCAGGAGATCCAGGACAATATTTTACTTTTGTGTATTTCTGAACTTTTTCCAAAATAAGTTTCAGGAAAGAATATTCATGAGTTCACGTGATGCTAAAAGAACAAAACAAAATTGAAAGAAAGAAAGGAAAGAAAAAACCAGCTCATCCTCATTCCTGATAGAAGGAACGTCAGAATTGCAACAGGATGAACAAAGTCACCATTCTGTAACGCCCAAGGCAGGAACGGATCTGGAGGATCACCCCTGCGTGCTGAGACCATGGGTCGGAGGCCGCCGACGGACACTTCAGAGCCCCTTCCTCGTGCTCTGACAGTGAAGGGACCTGCGGGGCTTCGGCTCAGCCAGGAGACCCCCTTCCATGTGGCCTGTGGGGCAGCCTGGCCCGCGGCTCTGATCTGCGCGCTCAGCCCTGCAGCACGAATGCACAGCGGGGCCTGGTGATGCAGAAACACCACGCAGATCCAGACAGGAGCTCCGTCTGCGAACACTGACCTGGAACCCTCAGAACACTCTGCCACGAAAAACTGAAGGCCCATTCCAGTTTAAGGGGCTCAGAGGCCTGGCGGCTGAGCACTGCGTGTGATTATGGACCAAAGGGTGGACTCGCTCAACGCTGCTCATCAACTGAGCGCTCTCCACTCGACAGGCCACGTGTATCAATGTTAGATTTCTGTTCAGGTTGCTGTTGGTGGTGGTGGTGGTGGTGGTTTTCTTTTTGTTTTGTTTTTTTTTTTTTTTTTTATGAGACGGAGCCTGGCTCTGTCACCCAGGCTGGAGTGCAGTGGCGCCATCTCGGCTCACTGCAACCTCCGCCTCCCGGGCTCAAGCGATTCTCCTGCCTCAGCCTCCCAGGTAGCTGGGAAGACGGGTGCTGCCACCACGCCAGGCTAATTTTTTGTTTGGGTGAAAACCCAGCGGGGTTTCACCATGTAGGCCAGGCTGGTCTCAAACTCCTGACCTCAGGTGATCCTCCCACCTCAGCCTCCCAAACTGCAGGGATTAAGGCATGAGCTATCGCACCCGGCCAATCAATATTAGATTTCTGGGCTCAGAAAAAAAAAATGTCCTTGTATTGATTCAGGGCAAAAAAAAAAAATTAAAAATGTATGTGTATATTAAGAGAGAAAGAGAAAGGAGAGGGAGAGGCGCTGGGAGGGAGAGCAAGTGATGGCGGCTCAGTGCAGAGCCCTGCTGGGTGTGTAGAAGCTTCTGCTTCCCTGGAGGATGGATCTTCCAGATGAAAACACTGCTGGGGGCAGCTCTGAGTCCTAGAATGTCACGGTCAGGAAGAGTGCTACAAAGACCACCAGCCTCTTGTTTTAGAGATAAGAGTTAAGGTTCTGGGTGGGCCAGGTGTGACCAGGCTCTCAGCATGTGGGAGCAGCAGGTGTCCCAGGGCCTGACCAAGCTGGAACCCCTTGTCCCCCAGTCTGCCCCCCACCCAGACCCAGGCTCACGTGGTGAAGCTGTGGTTGTCGTGTGCCTGGCTGGGCCCGCTCGTGGGTTTGTTGAAGCGTTTGAGGCCCAGGTATGCGGCCTGCACCTGTCTCCAAGTCCTCATCTCTCAGCTGGGACCACAGCTGGGCTGACCTGGAAGAGAGTTTGGGAGGAAGGGACTCGGAGCATGCACACGTGACCCGGACAGCAGCGGAAATGGGCTCCATGTAGGCCCAGGGCACCCTCTGCAGTACCAGGGCAGGCTGGCAAACCTCTCAAAGAGTCGGGCAGTGGACGTTTTAGGTGCGGTGAGGCACACGATTTCTCCCACAGCTAAACTCTTCCACTGCAGCCCAAAAGCAGCCACACACTCGTAGACGATGAACGTGGCTGTGTGCCACTAACACTTGACTTACAAACATAGGTGGTGCAAAGTGCTAGGGCTGGATGGTGCGAATGGCTGCACCACATCGTGAACATACTTAATGCCATTGAACCGTAGACATTATAAAGGTAGGTTTTATGTCTTGGTATTTTACCACAATAAAAAATAAAAACAATAAATACATAAATAAATAAATTACCATGGGGAAAATCCTGACAGAAAGCCAGACTTAGCTGGTGGGCTATAGTTAACCAGCCCTCTGTCTGCAGTGACAGTGACGCCCCCTCAAGGTTTAAGGGGCGTGTGTGGCAGCCCTGCAGCCCATTAACACAGCAGAGTGCCGGGCACGGTGGCTCACATCTGTAATCCCAGCACTTTGGGAGGACAAGGCGGGCAGATCACCTGAGGTCAGGAGTTCAAGACCAGCCTGGCCAATATGGTGAGACCCCATCTTCACTAAAAATACAAAAAAAAATTGTTAGGTGTGGTGGCACATGCCTGTAATGCCAGCTTCTAGGGAGGCTGAGGCAGGAGAATTGATTGAACCCGGGAGGCGGAGGTTGTAGTGAGCTGAGATGACGCCCCTGCACTCCAGCCTCGGCAACAGAGCGAGACTCCATCTCAAACAAGTAAATAAGTAAAATAAAGAATAAAACAATCCCATGTGAACCCATGGCCTGGCCTAAAAGCAGGGCCTTCGGGGCCCACGTGTCCCCCAGCTGTGATGCTGCCCGTGACCGCTGTGTGGGCCAGGAGAGGCACTTGGTATGATGGTGAGACGCAGGCCCAGAGCAGTGGTGGCAGGAACGAGTGCCCTGAGGGCAGTGCCAGGGCTCCTACGAAACACTCTGCCCTCTCCTCCTCTGATGGTGCCAAGAGGTGCCTCCTGGAAGGACTCTGAGACCACGAGGCCACTGTACCTGTTAGAGCGCCGTTGCTCGCCCTTCTTCATGCACTTGAGGAGGCAGCAGGTGAGGAAGGCCATGGACATGAGCAAGATGATGGCGCAGCTCACGATGGAGGCGACCACGGCCACCTTGAAGCCAAAGGTCTCATGCGGCGGCACCACTGTGTGGAGACAACCGCCAGCTCCTGGGCAAGGTTGGCCCCGATCTGCCTGGCCCCAGGTTCGCCCAGATCTGGCTGGCCCCAGGTTGGCCCAGATCTGCCTGGCCCAAGGGCTGGGGGCGTCAGAGGTGGTTGGGGTAGGTCCTGGGTGTGGACAGGGCCTGGCTGACCCTCAGTGAGCTGTGAAGCATGGTAAGGGGGCAGTAAGGTGTGGGGGCTGAGGCAAAGATCTTTGCAAACTATATCTGGAGGTGGCACTATCAGAGAAGACTCTCCCCAAGAAATAGGCTATTTGAGCAGGGTGTGCAGGAGTATGCAGAGTGGCTAATTGAAGCGGGTATTTGAGCTGGTTTTTGTAGGGTGTGTAGGAGTTTGCAGAGTGACTACATTGCAGAAGCTCTGGCAGGGAGTTCAGAGTGATGGCCTCCCCGGCTCCTGCCCACTGGAGTCCTGCTTGAGGAATGGTGGAAGGGCAAGGCACACAGAGGAGGCGACAGCAGTGCTCAGGAGGCCTTGCCCAGCCCATGTGAGTTTTCACAATGTTGCCCCGAGCTGGCAACATTCTTCAGGGGCTCACATGCCTTCTCAGGTCACTTTCCAGGAAAGCCCAAAAGACTAGGTATCTGCCGTGCGACCTCAGCTATGCTCCAAAAACGAGTTCCATCAGATTCTACAGATGTTCTGGGGGAAAAAGGCCTGGAATCCTAATTTGAGCAACACCATGTACTCCCCTGTAGGGGACATGGCCCTGGCCCCTGGTCCCCATTTCTCATGCTCCCTAGTAGACGCTGACCACCCAGAATGGAGACTACACTTCCCAGTGGTCACAGGGCCATGTTCTGGCCAATGGAGAATAAGAGTGATGTGGAGAAAGTCCCGAGCCCCTTTCCCGAGACACGTGGGCCCGGCCTTTGGCCCTGAGGCCTCTTGCCCCGTAACAGCTGCCTGGAACACAGCTGCTGCCACCTTGGATCACTGAGGCCATGCCCAGCAGAGCCATGACAGGGAAGGGGCCTGGCTCCCGCCACCTGGAGCCCACACAGGCCTGCCTGCCCACCCTGAAGGTTGGGCTCCATCACGGCTAATCCTAGGATTTTGGGGTTTCTGCCTCTCAGAATCTAATCCTAACACCTGCATTCTCAATCACCTATCACGTGAACATTTTAAAGGCTCTGAGAAGTCCTGCAGCATAAAAGCCCAGAGTCTGCCAAACTATTTTGACTCTGAGCCCTTCTTATGCATAAAACACATTAACATAACACACGGCTTCATTTTGGAAATGGCATGCTGGGCATTGAAAAGGGAATATCTTGTGGACCCTTCGACACCTGTACAACAAATGCAACCAGAAAACCAGCTCCTCCCACAGACTGGGAGCTCCAGGGCCAGGCAGGTCATGGTCTTCTAGGTGGCCAGTACTTAGGATTCCTGATACATGCAATATCCTATTAAAGTTCGCCATCTGCACATGTATGTGAATGAATGAATGAACAGTTTCCTGCTTAACAGAGAAAAAGTGCTGGCTCAGAGAGCATGAGCAGCCTCTTGGCAGTGAGGGGCTAAGTGGGTAGCAGAGCCAGGATTGGAGGCCCACTGCTAGGCTTTGGGTCCACACTGCTGATGTGGCACTCAGAGGGCTGAGGGCTGACGGCCGGCCGCTGACTTGTAAGCAAGCTGTCAGTGTTGGGAATGGGACCCTACTGGCCTAGTTGCTTGTGAGTGGACACCCACACCATCCCCACCCACACCATCCTCCTGACAGGATTTGGGACCATCCCCCACCCCCAGAGCCACCAAGCTGACAGAAGGGTCCTTACGTTTGCACACTGGGGACCCTGAAGACCACTCAGCAATGCTCCCCTTCCAGGTGCAGGTGAGGAGCCCAGATCCCACCATCTGGTGGTTGGAGGGGCAACGGAACATGAGCACGGTCCCCACGGAAGCACCATCACCACGAAGGACTTGGAAGGTGGCTTGCGGGGGCAGCCGCAGCTGAGCGCAGGTGCCTGGGGAGAGAGGTGGGTGTCAGGCATGGGGGCTGGGCATGCAGGGCAGGGTGGGACCCTGGAGGGTGAAGCTGGCACAGCACTGGGGAGCAAAGGGGCGGGGTGCAGCTCCGAAGGCCACCGGATACTCTGGAGGTCACAGGGGCCATCCAGACCCTGGGACAACGCAGCTGGATCCCTCCATGAAGTAAACTCTAGATGCTGAGGATTGGAGTGCTAAAAAAAGAAACAAGTATCAGAAGACAATAAAAGCAAATATTGAGGCATGCCCTTTGATTATGATCTAAGCACAGCTCCAAAGGCAGAAATCAGGGGGAAAAAAAAGAGAGGGAGAGAGATAACAGATGTGACTGCATACAAAACAGAAAGCTTCTGCAGCTCCCTAATAATGGAAAACAACCAACTCGGGTGAAAAATTGGGGAAAAGATATTTGGAAAACACAGGACAAAGGTTGGTTCAATAGCCTTCATTTATGAAGACGTCTTACACATGAATAAAAACGGAATATTCCATTAAAAAAAAAACCCCAACAAGTTCTCATTGTGAACAAGCAATTCGCAAGGACACCAATGGCCCACAGACATGAAAAATACAGACTCACAGCAATTAAGGAAATGCTGATTCAAGGAAGAGCTCATTTTTCCTACATCGATGAGGTGAAGGCACAAAGAAAATAGACAATAAACAAATAGGCAGGGCCTGGGAAGCCCTGTTCCTGGGTTGGCGTGCAGATCCAACCTTTCTGCAGAGCATTTGGTAAATGCAGTAAGGGCCCTATGTTGCATATGCACTTTTAGCCACAGGAAATAAGAATGAGTTGCCAAGGTTTCTCTATGGGAAGCCCACCTCAGAGCCATACAAAATAGTGAAAGGCTGAAACAACCCACGTCTCCAGCAGGAGGGAATGATTCCCCCCCCCCAAGTCCAGCCAGACAGTAAAACACTAGAGAGCAGTTACAGTGATGTTCTTAAGTAAGGACACAGAGATGCTTTGGATACAGCAGCAATCAACAATTTTAATAAAATTATAACAATGACAACAGCTGGGACTGAGAAGCTCGCTGTGGCTGGACGCTGTAGCACCGGCCTTACATGTGCTATCCTCTGTCGGCACAGCAGCCTAGCCATGGAGAACCGTCATTAACCCCATCGACAGATGAGCAAATTGGGCAGAGGGTCTTACAACACTTTCTGCAGTCACACAGCTCTTATGCTGCAGGGAAGACTCAGAACCAGACAAGGAGGCTCTGGTCTGACTTCGTACACATTCATACAGACACACACACACACACACACAATGCACAGGAGTCATCATGCTCTGCATGTGTCAGCAGCTGGTTACTTTTCACAGCAGTGAAGTGTTCCATTGACGGACGGGCCTCTGTGTGCGTCCCTGTTCCCTGCATCTGAGTTGCCTCTGGGGTCTAAGGACGTTCAGTGAAACTGCTAAGGACATCCTCGGGCAGGTCTCCTGGTGTCCAAGTGCAAGAAGCTCTTCCTTCTATGTATCTAGTATTTCCTGATTTGGGGGCATTGACAGTGGACTGCTGGTGCATCACAGGCAAAGAACAGGGAGAGCTGTTCTTTGAGAGAACAGGCCGGGCTGGTGCATGGCGTGTGCAGAGGCAGAGACTGGCTGGAGGAAGCAGCGGTGAAGGGGCACCTGAGCATCTCCGTGCCTGTCTCCCTCTGCACCGGCAGGGACCAACACCCAGAGCTTGGGGTGATGGTGGGGACAAAAAGCTGAGGCATGTAGAGTCTGATGGACCCCATTATTCCACACTGACCTGCTACGACCTTCCTCTGTCCTCTGTGCACTGTATCGGGGACCATGCCCTGGGTGCTAGGCATGGAAGTCCTACTGCCCACTGAGCCTGACGATGTGACCTAGCCAAGCTTCTGAGCTCCCCCAACCTGCTGACCATGTGGCTTCTCCTATTATAACTTTAAATCAGCAGTTCCACCATCCTTCAGTTGCTTGGGCTCCAAACCTTGAAACCTACTTTCTCAATCTATAACTAATTCGCCAGCAAACTTTGTGGACTCTAATTTTACGATGTTTACCAAAGACACACCATCCCCCAGATTTATTCATGTCCGCCCAGGAGCAGTCACATGGGCTGGCTGTATGCCCATGCAAAGTCTTCATCTCTGGGATGTTATCACTCTATTACTTTTTTTTCTTTTTTGAGACGGAGTCTTGCTTTGTCACCAGGCTGGAGTGCAGTGGCATGATCTCAGCTCACTGCAACCTCCAACTCCCTGGTTCAAGCCATTCTCCTGCCTCAGCTTCCTGAGTATCTGGGATTATAGGCACGTACCACCACACCCAGCTAATTTTTGTATTTTTAGTAGATACGGGGTTTCACCATGTTGGGCAGGATGGTTTCGATCTCCTGACCTTGTGATCCACCCACCTCTGCCTCCCAAAGTGCTAGGATTACAGGCGTGAGCCACTGCATCCGGCCATCACTCCATTTCTTATCCCACATCTGAATTCACAAGCCCATCTAGGATGGAAATTGAAGGTGGTAGGGATGGAACAGGGAGCCCCACCTGATGGCCAAGCCCAGCGGGGAGAATCTGCCCCATGTCAGCTCATCCTGGGCAGCCTCAACTCTAATCCCCACCCCTGGCTGCTGTTGCCTCTAGTATCCCTTTCTCCCCACCCCAGAGTTGCAGCTGGAAATGTGATCACCAATGAAAACTATATTTCCCAACCTGCCTTGCACCTGGGAGCAGTCGTGTGCCTGAACCTGGCCAATGGGGCGTGAGCACAGATGCTGTGCCACTTCTGCATTGGGGACGTGTGATGGTTAATATTGAGTGTTAACCTGATTGGACTGAAGGATGCAAAGTATTGTCCCTGGGTGTGTCTGTAAGGGTGTTGCCAAAGGAGATTAACATTTGATTCGGTGGACTGGGAGAAGCAGGCCCACCCTAAATCTGATGGGCACCATCTAATCAGCTGCCAGTGAGGCTAGAATAAAAGCAGTTAGAGAGGAACGTGGAAGGACTAGTCTAGCTGAGTCTTCCGGTCTCCATCTTTCTCCCGTGCTGGATGCTTCCTGCCCTTGAACATCGGACTCCAATTCTCCAGCTATTGGACTCTTGGACTCATGCCAGTGGTTTGCCAAGGGCTCTTGGGCCTTTAGCCACAGACTGAAGGCTGCACTGTCTTCCCTACTTTTGAGGGTTGGGGACTCGGACTGGCTTCCTTGCTCCTCAGCTTGCAGACAACCTATTGTGGGACTTCACCTTGACATCGTGTGAGTCAGTCTTCCTTAATAAACTCCCCTTTATATGTACATCCGTCCTGTTAGTCCTGTCCCTCTAGAGAAACCTGACTAACACAGGGAGCAAAGATGGTAGACGTGTGAACGGGCAGACCAGTCTCTCAGATCCTGAGAAGAGACAGAAATAAACTCTAGCTGGAATTAGGCCACTGTTTTTTTGTGGATTTGTTAAGTGGACTGGCTCAAATCTGATACAAAGCTGCAGTCAAACACATCTCAGCCCAGTGCACTATTTAGTGCTTGGGATTCTTCCCAGGGCCCGAAAGTGACAATAACCAAAGCAGGAATATCAGCAACAATAATAACGGAAGGAAGAATAACGCCCAGGCCCTACTCTGTGCTGCGCGCTGCAGTGGCTGCTGGGCAGCAGCACAGAAATGAATGCACGGGTTCCAGCCTGCGGAGCTCCCAGTCCACCTCCACCACGCACATTTGGAGACCCAGGCGAGGGAGCCTGCCCTGGCCTCAACATCAGCACAGCTATTGTGCCCACATTGGACTGGTGTGCAGAATAAACAAGGTGCAATGCCAAGGCATCTGGAAGGTGGCTGCGCCTGGTACACACAAGGACAGGAGCCGTGGTGTCCTTGGAAGAACGGCCTCCGCCCTTCTGCAGCCCCAGAAACCATGGCTCAGGGACACTGAGGTCACATAGCCAGTTTGTGGTTCCGCCAAGGTCAACCATGGCCACCCGGGTCTTCATCCCCAGGCCGCCTCCATCCTTTCTGCCCCTTCAGTATCTGGGGAATCTGGGGAAGACCGGCCTCTGGCCCGGGCAGGGCCTTTCTGACTGCTCCCTGTCTGTGGCTCCTCAGCATCCGCACAGTTACTAACAATAACAGTGCATGTCTGCATGGAACATTCTGTTCAAGAGCACCCCGTATTCCTTATCTGTATGATTACAGACAGGGCTCAGAGGAGTGGGCTCACCTGCCCAGATGTCCACTGATAGCAGGGAGGGAGCCGCCCTCCAGCTAAGATTCTTACACTTGTAACATACATGTAATAGGGGATTCATATCTTCTCTACATAAACGGCACTTACATATTAATAAGCCAATGGCGAAAACCACGACACAATGGGTAAATTAGAAAAGAAGAACAAATGGCTCAGCTAGGAGAGGTGGCTCATGCCTGCGATCCCAGCAATTTCCGAGGCCAAGGCAGGTGGATCACCGGAAGTCAGGAGTTCAAGACCAGCCTGGCCAACACGGTAAAACCCTGTCTCTACTAAAATACAAAAATTAACCAGGCGTGGGTGCCACATGTCTGTTACTCCCAGCTATGTGGGAGGCTGAGGCAGGAGAACTGCCTGATCCCAGGAAGCAGTGGTTGCAGTGAGCCAAAATCGCACTGCACTCCAGCCTGGGCGACAAAGCAAGACACCATCCTGGAAAAAAAAAAAAGAAGAAGTAAAACTATCTCCATTAGATGTCATGATTTCATCTGTATGTAGAAAAGCCTAGAAATCCTACTAAAAACTATTATAAATAGAAATGAGTTCAGCAAGATTGTAGAACACGAAGTCAACATACAAAAGTCAATGGGATTTCTGTACAGTAGCAGTCAGCAAATTGAAAATTAAGAAAAAATTTTATACAATAGCATCAAAAAGAATTAGTTATAAATTTAAGAGCAGAAGTGTGAAACATATACTGTGAAAACTACAAAATGTTGTTGAAAGAAATTAAAGACCTAAATAAA